CCGAGCGCACGTTTCCTCGGCTGCCGCGCCTCCACCACGCCCGTCCTCGGGCCTCCTTTAGGGCCGCTCACGAAGTCTCCGTGAGGCGCCGCCACGCACATGGCAGGGAACAGAACGGCATGACGCGCGAATCCGTGGTGAACCCAGAGAACGGGAAGCCACGCTCGCACCGGCTCAGAACACCCAACCGCGAGGCCTCATTTCCAAACCCGCGCCCACCTTTTCTCGGCTGAAAGCGCTTCCGGATGGCGTCCCTTCCGGCGAAGCGGCCCGCTCCGCCCTCCCCGGCCTACCAATCCGCGGCAGCAGATTGCATCTACGTCACGTGGGGGCGTGTCCCCGAGCTCGTGGGCGGTGCGTCACGTGCCGTGGGACAGGGGGTGGGGGGCGGAGTTAAGGACCGTGGCTTCCCAGGTGAGCAGATTTAGCACTTGGGTGTGAAGAGGGCTAGGTGTCCAGGGAGATGGGGAAAAGGGTGCGGAATGAGTCGGAGACCTGACTGGCCCGAACTGCTGAGGGGTCCATAGTTACGTGCTAGATGACCTCCCAAGAAAGGAGGAAGTTAAAGTTTATTCGGACCTATCAGCCACCCTTTGATTTCAGGAAATTACCTTTTTCAGGCATACAGATCTGACTTCAGTTGTGAGTCAACATTATTCACATTTTCAAAAGCTGGCCTACTGGATGCTCAGGCAAAACTTAAAAGCCCACAGGTAGTGTTTATAATTAGTTGCTTTATGCTTTAAAGCTCGGGAGACCTTTGGCATACTCTTTTTATTCTACAGATGAAGAAAAAGATTCAAAGGGAGAAAGTACCTAATGAAAGGCACTGAGCCATTTTATGATTGATTGGGAAACTAAAAATAATTCTATCTCCTTGACCTAAGTGTTTTTTGCAGTTACTGTAACCATTAACACATAACCACAGGAAACAGTTTTTGCTGGGGTCCTTTTCTCTTTAATTCTCACATGAACATATTTTTTAAAGTGTAATAGCTATTTTCTATGATACATCAACCAGATTCTGTAAAAATATATATATATTTTAACTTCTAGCCACTATGCTACACAACCTTGCAAGGTGGTTATCATGATCTCTTTACACACGAGTAAAACAAGACTACAACGAGACTAACTAACGGAGCTGAAATAACTCCCCACAGCCTCCCAATTAGTGAGAATGTCAGGATACAGATCATCATAGCCACCTGGTTTCTAAAGCCTCTGCCTACTCTTTCCACCATCGCACACGTCTTCAATAAGTTCATGGGATTCTTCCGTGCTTAAATCATCTGCAAATGATGAGGAACATGCCTAGACCAGGCATTTCCAAAGGAACCTGCAGCCTAGACGTTGTGGTGACCATAGCAGCAATAATGGTTGGAATCAGTATTTAGGAGTTAGAGAGGGAGGAACAAATTGAACTAGATTGTAAACTCAGAGAGTGTAAAGCCTTTACCATACCCCTTGATACTCAGTGCCTAACACATAATAGGCACTCAAGTAGTGAATACTAGATAAATAGTAGATGGACATGTGTGTGAACTAGTAGAGAAAGAAAATGCTGATAAAGTACATATTTGCTGGAAATTAGTTCACTAGTTCAGCACCTGTGAACAGTGCTGAAGACACTTAAACTCACCTTGGCTAGACATTATTGTGTTGACCATTATGCTGAGGAAGAGGCCTTTGGAGTTCTAAGGTTGGGTCCAAGAAGAGCATATCACAAACCTGAAATTGGCATAGTGAATACATATTGTCTAAGGCTCTAAATGAAGGAAGATCCCTATAATTTAGGCTGTTGTTCTCAATGGGATAATACGGCCCCCAATATGGGAGAGAGACAAAAAAAAATCTTAGATCTAAGCTTATAGTGTTAAATCTGTTTTCAATGCTCCAAATCTTCTCACACACACACACACACACACACACACACAAAATACACACACACATAAACTCAGCTATTCCTCAGTATTTAATTTCATGAGAAGGCATGAGGGGATTAGGAAAAAATACATCTAGAAAGGCTGGAAATCTATCAATTTCAACTCATCTGGAAACTGACCAACTAGGACCCAGCCGTGGGCAAACTACGGCCCGCGGGCCGGATCAGGCCCATTTGAAATGAATAAAACTAAAAAAAAAAAAAAAAGACCGTACCCTTTTATGTAATGATGTTTACTTTGAATTTATATTAGTTCACACAAACACTCCATCCATGCTTTTGTTCCAGCCCTCTGGTCCAGTTTAAGAACCCATTGTGGCCCTCGAGTCAAAAAGTTTGCCCACCCCTGAACTAGGCTAAAGTCACAGTGAACATTATCTTAAAGGTTTAGGAGAGTTGGTCTTTTTCTAAAAATATATTTTATTGATTTCAGAGAGGAAGGGAGAAGGAGAGCTAGAAACATCAATGATGAGAATCATCAATTGGCTGCCTCCTGTACACCCTCCACTGGGGATCAAGCTCACAACCCAGGCATGTACCCTTGACCAGAATCAAACCAGGGATCCTTCAGTCCACAGGCCGACTCTCTATCCACTGAGCAACACTGGCCAGGGCTAGGAGAGTTTTGTTCTGATTTCTTTTAAGAGTCTAAGCTTTGCCCTGGCCAATGTAGGTCAGTGAGTAGAGCACTAGCCCGTGCACCAAAGGGTATTGGGTTCGATTCCTAGTCAAGGATACATACCTGGTTCAATCCTGCCCAAGGGTGGGTGCCGGAGGCAACCAATCGATGTGTATATTTTACATGGATGTTTCTCTCTAAAAATCAATGGAAAAAAAAATCCTCTGGAGAGGATGAACAACAACAAAAAAGTGTTTCATTCCTAGTTGGCAGAACATGCTGTCCCTAGGCTTTTGGTTCAAGCCACGTAATTTATCTTAGTTAACTGAGTAATAAATTGAATTCAATTCCAGCTATAACCAGTTCTTCCAAGTACTATCTGAAGTTAATTTAGAATAGTTCCTTCTAAGGAATATTAGATAGGATATCAGATGGTTTTTTTTTTAATTCCCTAGTTGTTTGAAATTTTTTTCCTTGAAATTTCAGCTTCTTTGTTTTGCTCTAAGTACACCATTTGTATCTTTTTCTTAAAATGTGTTGAACTGGAGAGAAATATTACTGACATTCATTGCAATTAAAGAAAGTTATTTCAATGAACACTTCAGAAAATATGTTATAATCCTAATGGTTGCATTATCATTCTCCTTTATTACATTTTTCTTATTTCATGAATTTAAGATATATTTAATTTGTAACATTCCATAGAATAGTGTTCCCTTCTTTGGATCAAGAGCTACACCAAAGTTAGTTTTTAAAAGTTCTTAAAGTGATGTTTTTTAAGAAAAAAATCACAAAGCTGTTAAAAGTGCTACATTTCAAAAGCATATTACTCAGAATTCTCTAGTTTGATTGAATTATTGACAAGTATTCCTACTATAATTTATATACTGATAAAAAATGTAGAATGAACCTGTATTTTTTAAAAATATATTTTATTGATATTTTACAGAGAGGAAGGGAGAGAGAGATTTAGAAACATCGATGAGAGAGAAACATCAATCAGCTGCCTCCTGCACA